CTATTACTCTCGCCATTCAGCAAACTAGCAACTGACTGACAGCTGCATTGCAGAGAAAGCACTGCACGTTATGCCAGTGCTGTGAGAATGCAGTCAGTGCTGCCTTGCCGTCTATGCTGGGTAAGACCCAGGGACAACCACAGCGAGAACATGCCCCTAAAAGCTGGATGGACTTTACAGGTTTGGCTCTCGTTTCTGAGGAGCTCCTAGGCTGCACTATGCACTGGGATTTTTGTTAACGTAATTTAAGTGGGGAGAAAATGATTGAAGATTCCAGAGAGAGAATTACGCAAGAAAGAGCAATAAATACACTAAATGAGAATACTTGCAGCTATTCCCTGTAATTTATATCAGAAAATCAATAACCTCCAGGTTAAAGGTAACAAACAACAAAAGTGCTGGATTACCTCTACTGTCTTGCCACAGGGCAAGACTCTCCAGCCTTGGAGACTGAATACAAGTTGCTGGAAAGAAAGTCTTCCAGTTGGTTTTCTCCTAGCTGAAGGTTTTTGGAGAGTACTGGGGTTTTAATTGCAAATGCAGGTGCTAGCCAGCTGGGTCATCTCAGGGCTGAGAGAGCTCTCCCTGACTGCTCTGCAGTTGACCTCTTCGTAATCCGTTTCCAGACAGCCCAAAAGCATGTCCTGTGGGAAGGACAGAGCTCTTTCAGCCCCTGAGCATCTTTAACCCTCACTATCCCCTTAGGATCACAACTTTCATTTCAAAAGCTATGAGGTCTCATCACAACCTGTTCTGGCAATGTCACAATGCCTGTGGGTGACAGTTTGTGCTGCCTGACACCTGCATAGCACTGGCTGCTGTGGGTGGCTGGTAGGGAGACTCTCCCCACTCTTACCCATTAGTCCTTTCAGCCTACTTCAGAGGATACACTGTGTGGGTGTGACTCATTGGCACTTTCAAGAAGTGGCTGGTGCTCCATGTCATGTGGTTCCCCATCAGCATTCTCACTAACATGGCTGCGAAGCTGCAAGTCTCCAGCTGGGCAGTGTACCACTAGGTTGCCCCTTTCTCTTTCTCACTCAGTGATGAGGCATGCAGGAGGGATGCAAGAAAGCCCATGTTCTTGTAATTTGATGTCTGTTTGAGCACCTCAGGGTGTGGATAGTATGAGCATGATACTGAAGGCACAGTGAAGTAAGAACCTGGGCAAACAGGAGTGAGGTAGTGTCTGGGACTGCGGAGCAAATATTGGCCTGCAAAGCCAACTTTGGCAGATAGCTGAGAGGCAGCCAGCACAGGGTGGAGAAGTCCAGAGTAGACAAGGCAAGGCTTGTTTGCTTGTCTGTGCAGGGGACTCTGAAACAAAGTCTGGGTCACCCAGGCCTCTCAGGCAGTGGTAGTAGGTGAAAGATGTTTAGGGAGGGGGAGAGGGGACCATGTGCCCAAATGCATTACCAGCACTATTCATGGTTTAAAAGCTTCCTAATGTGCAGTTGCAATCCTGGCAGAAAGCCTTGTGCCACTCTGGCGGCAAGAAAGTGCCAGATCATGTACCTCAGCACCTGAATAGCAGAAGAAACACTCATGCACACCCCTGAGGAATGGTTCACCTGCTACCCTGGAACATCACCTTCCTGCAGAGGTTGCTGGAACTAGGGACCAAAGGCTGGCCTGATCCACAGTCTTTTTCCCACACCTGTGGGAACTGCCCAGGAAGAGAGCCTTCTCCCTGCTGATTTCCACCAGATAGCCCTCATGAAGCACCAGGCCAGCTGCAAGAAACACCTATTGTGCCAAGACATGCTGGGCCTGGTCTCCAGGTGTGCCTGGCCCTGTGTACAAATGGACTCGCATCTGGAGTAGAACAGACTGTCGGTGCTATGGGGGTGGGGGCTGCTACATCATCCAACTGGACTTTTGTCTGTGTTGCTTCACATTCAGTTGCTGTCCCAATCCTGGTGTGAGCTGGAAACATGGGAAAACACTGGTCCAAGCTGGTGAGAAGGTGGGGCCATTTGATGCAGTTCCTCTGGCAGACGGTAGTAGGCACTTCAGGAAAAAAATATGACACGATAAAAGGTCTTCCACCTTCACCTCCTCCCTGCTGCTATCAATAAGCATGTGGAACCTCTGGAAGGAGGGCTTGCTCTGGAACTCCACATTTAAAAATTCCCACAGAAGTGCCACAGATATGTTTAGAAACTTCTGAAAACCACACGCACTCCTGACCTCATCAACAAAAAGTTAATGGTTCACCTTACAAAATAGTCCATCCATCTGCTGAGTTAACACCTATTCTCTGCGAATGTCATGAGATAACCCCAGGCCTCATGGCGAGAAGTGTGGAGTAGTGGATTTCTGTTTACTCCTATTTTCCATTCTAGCCTTGGTTTCTTACACCTCCTCTGCTCTGCAGGTGAAGAGCCCTACTGTCTTTGCTGCATCTTTGTACAGAGCAGTCCCAGACATCCTGCTCCTCAGAGTCCTTCCTGGTTCCACTACACCCATTTGTGGGTGGGGAGACTAGAGCTACACAGACGGCTCACAGTACAGACACAACAAGGAATTATGTGAACAGTTTTATTTTTGGTTCTTCATTCCATTCCTTGTAGTTCTCAACCTTCTTAACCCTTGGTTTCCTCTCTTGACCCTTTCTAAGCACACCAAGCCATTCGTGGCACCTCCTGGGTCTCTAGCTGAGACCTTGGGCCTGGGGTCTGTGTGTATGCAGCCATGGCAAGGGTTGCTTTTGCCTTGTGCACACTATTCTGCATTCATCAAAGCTGGGTTTCATGTGTCATTTAATTGGTCTGTTACTCTGACACTGGAGAAGACTTGTGCTGCTATTCGGTAAAAAGCTTGCTAGACTGCTGGCTGCCACATAAACCCTGACAGTACAAGTGAAGAAGGAAAGTCCCCAAGTTTGCAAAGAGTTTGAAACAAAAGCATGAAGGTGTAGCTTACCCTGTCCACAACATAATCGCTGACATGCAGAGATCTACTCAGTCCACTCCAATCTGACTTGTTTTTCTGTTAAAGCAGCCTTCAGAACAGGTTATGCCTTTGGAAATTCTAAGGCCGCTCTGGGATTGGGCTTTAGCACCCAGTGTTGTTTCTGGGGATTGCTGACTTTCCCCACAGCAGATGGAGCACTCATATGATACTCTGTACACTATGTATCATCTATTTACATCTCTTTTTACATTTGCAACAGATGGCTTGGCATCATTATTTTTTTTAAATTAAGAGGAAAATATATCTAAAAGTTAGCACATTTTCTGGAGCCTATGGGGTTTACTTTTACAGCACCAGTGCTGAGGTATTCAGCAAAAGGACCTCCCTCACCTTCCCCCTGAGTTACATGAAGAGCTGTCACATTAAAGATGCAGGGACAGGAGACAGTAGTAAGAAAACAGAAACTTGCAAGTGAGATAGGAGAAGGCAGAAATGAATATGAAAAGATGAAAGTGAGACAGAACAGACCTATGGGCAATAATAGGAGGGCAGGAGAAGATGAGAAGTGGTAGCTCTGACAAACGCTGTGCTCAAAAGCTGGTCTGACTCACATCCCACGAAAGCATGAGATTACTTTATAAATACAAAATTTAACAAAGCGTGAGATCAACAGTTGGTTTCTTGTTCCTCTTTCAGCATTCAGGGTGATATCATATTTTCTCTGGAAAAATAAGATTTGGGAAGGAGGAGGAGAGTTACTGTAAACCAGAACTTCCACACACTCATGTGACTCCAGAGTTGGCAGTGTAAGCATGTTGCCAGCTAGGTTTGACCTAGAGGTGCTCTTGCTGTCAGAAGAGAGGAGATATATGTGATGTATATATGAGCAGCCACAGTACTGAAATATCCAGCTTACATTTGTCTGGAAAGCAAAAGGTCTTTGAGATGTTAGGGGTGAAAATAACCACTGAAGTTGCCAGATACGAGCATCATCGCATCATCCTTGTGCACAGAGTCAAGCCTTGCACTGGTCATTGTGCAAGGCTGCTGCCATCTGTTGGATGGTGGTTAGGGCTTGGTGTGACTGGGCTGCCAGAGTGGAACTCTGTATGGACACAAGGGATCTAACTTGCATCCTTGCAGCAAAGGACCATGTCTGAGGGAAGGAAGGTCTCCATGAGGTAGCACACCTGCCCACAGTCTCATCAGGGTTGTGGTACTATGAGTAGACAGGTATCTGATCTGCCATGTGCCATTAGGCTAACAGGAATGACTACACAATGCAGTTCTAGGTGAAATTTTTTTTGGTCATGACAATCCTCATGTGGAAGGAGCATGTGGGGAATGCCAAGACGTGCAGGCAGAGCTCTGGGCAAAGGCTCTGGGCAAAGGCTCTTAGTGGCCAATGGAGAAGTGGTGCACTGTATTTATAAATGTCTCTCACGGCTTGAGCATATGCAACTGCTGGGTGAGATGCCTCTCTTTCACTAGACTATTTTGACCCATGGACCTTCACTGCAGTAAATCAGATGATGCTCCTACTGTTTCTTGCTTGGTGTTTCTTAGCAAGCAAACATGGTATGGTGGGTGGATGCAAAGCTGGTTTACATTTTTACGCTAGTTTTACTCCTCTGTAAATCCTACTCAGTAATGACTAATCCACAAGTTGATTCCCCTTTCCCATTCGGATTATTTTATTTTCACTAGATTTTTGTGTTTGAAAAAGTTTAACCATTTAGTGTCTACCTATCATATAGTATTTTTCAAATACTATAAGGCTGTCTCTAAGGCACTACCCCAGTGCTAATTGTATGTAAAGCAGTAAGTCCCAAGACTGAGATAAAAGCAAAGGTAATTGAAATAGTAAGACACAGAGCCCCCTGAAAGAGAAGAAAAATACTTGCAGGAGAATGCACAGAAAAATCAAACTACAAAGGAAACTATGGAAAATGCCTACAAGAAGTCAGGCAAGTAACCAAGACTAGAGAAGCCCACCCATCCTGGCTCTATTCATGAATGTTCCTGTAATGACAAGGGCTGCTTGGGCCCTGCAGCCTCTGCTTACTAACTGTCATCTTTTCCAGGAAGTGCTACCAGGACTCATCACTCTGGATGGAAGCCAGGAGGACATAAGCAAGCCAAAGCTGTGCTACTTTGTGAAGAGTTGTGTAACTAATTCCTGCTGGGCTTAGGTCAGTCCGCAGCAGCTCAAAGAAAGGCAGTAACTCCTCAGCATACTGTAAGCCATGCCCCAGGAACGTCAAAAAAGCCTTACGGAAGGTTGGAGAGCTCTGCAGATCCATCAAGGAGCACAGCATGAGAAGGCTCGCTCACTTGGTGATAAATAGATGTTTAGACTAGATGGTCTTAGGGGCCTTTTCTAACCTTAATGATTCTATGATTCTATGACTCTAACAGCCTCACCAGCTCACAGAGGTTCTGGGCCAGATCATACAGCTTAGCCTAGGATCAGCTAACCTCTCTGTGATGAGGTGAAGTGCCTGTGCAGCACTGAGGGTGCAGTGGGGCTCATCTTGCCTAGCTGTAACTTCCCCCCATCTACTCACCAACATTGGTACCCAGGCTGTTGCTGCGTGCTTTGTTTTCTGACTGTCTCTCTGTACTCATGGGATCACCAGAGATCTCTGCTATGCTTTGGTCTCCCCAGCCTTTGCAAGGGAGTATACCTTCCCCAGAGCTATTCTTTCAGCCATTTTCTGATGGGCTGGTGTTCTCCTGCCTCTCCTCTTCCTCCAAAGGGTAAGGATCTACTATCCTCCTCCTGCTCCTTGGCAATGAAACTCTTGTTGTGTAATCTCCTGGCTTATGAGGAAGCATTTCAGCTATTCCCTATGTCCTTCTGCCCCCAAATCTATCTACTGTAGCATCTGCAGTGTGAATCAGTAAGAGGCTCAGTGAGATATAAAGTGGAGCACAAGGCAAAACGGAAAAATGTCTGCTGCTTTGAGGCCCACATGGCTGTTTCTGCTGGTGATCTCACAAATAAAGTTACTGTTACTGATCACCTCTTTCTTCCAAGCAAGATGAAATGAATCAACAGCAAAGATCTGAATCTTGGAAAGGGTTTTCCTAGCAGGCAGAATGGGCTGTTCATGGGATTTCCAAATAAGTGGATTTAATGATACCATGTTGATATTCCTCGTGATTTTTAATCATGTGTTACATATTTTAGGTTTTGATTGTTGTTGTTCTTGTTGATTCCCCCCCCCTCCTTTTTTTTTCTGAGCCTCTTGTAGTTGCAATATAATTACTGAGTTCTCCTTTTCTTCTCATACTGAGCTTTTTTTTTTTTTTTCCTTATGGGAGCTGTGAACAAAACCATGAGAACAAGAACCCTGGGGACTCAAAAAATACCTACGTGTAAATAAAGGTTAACACCACAGAGATAATTTTCAAAGCAATGCCTTGCTTTTCTTCAAGAAAAGACTTGCACTCGACAACCTCAATGACAGAGAAAACGAGTCTCTCCAGACATGACTGAAACTGTATGCAGTAGCTCCTCAGTACATGGGCTTTTCTCCAGCCTCCCAGGTGCAAATAGAGCCCTGGTAACTGCATGTCCACTACATTGCTGTGCTTTTTCTGGTATTTTCTTCTCTTGCAGTAATCAAACCAGGAGCATTATCAAGAAACCTGAACCAAAAACCTGAAAAATGTTTTTCATTCTTTCTGGGGGGAAGACAGCAGATCAAGGGTGCCCAGCTTCTTGAGCAAGGAGGATGAGGCTGTTCTGAACTGTCTTCTTCAGGTTGCTACGCTTGACTTTTTAACAAGGCACCTTTCTCACCTTCTTTACTGATCCAGAGCCAGCGAGCTGAGAGGTAGGTTGGACATCCAGGGGCAAGGCGCTAAGAGGTGAGGTAGGAGTGATTAATCAAAACTTGCTTTTCACTGTTTATTGTGCACCAAAATAAAAAAAAGTCAGATGGGAAAGATGTAAAACCCAACAGAGAAGAGAGAAGTGAGCCTGGAGCAACTTCAGGTTTGTATGGTGAACTCTGAAAACTGTAGTGGGAATAAAAACATCATCTCGACTTAAACTAGCTCAGCAATGAGGCATGTACTAATAGCTAGTTTGAGTCAACTTGAATTAAACAGGATCCCATGAGCTCCTGAGATGAGCCCAGACATGAATGTAGCTCAGCCCCTGGCACCCAGCTACTACAATGGTGAAGAAGGCAAGAAAGACACAAGTGTGACCTTGCACTTTAAGAGAGTAACCTGTTTCCTAAAGGATGACAAGTCTCTCTCACAAAAATACATTTTATCCATAGATGCTTGTGTTGTATACAATATGGCACAGGTTATTTTCTTGTTTTGCTACTTCCCCACCTTTATATTAGGAAAAGAAAATTTCCAGAATGAAGGGAGAAACAGAGAGGAGGGAGAAATATATTTTTGACTGTGAAGTACAACATATGCTAGTGTGAAGCTGAACAGCTTTCCATTTAGCATATTCTAGCCAATTTATTAGTAACACCTCACATACCCATGGTTCCTCATTAATTACCTGCCAGCAATGAGCAACTGACTTAATATTGTGTTAATATTGTGTTACTGACTTCATTGTGTTCCTTTTCCCTTCCCTCCCACCAATTGATCTGTTAGTCACGTATTCCTGGAAAATATGGGACAAACAATGTTTTTGTTTTTATTTTGTTTGCTTTTTTTTTTGTTTTTTTGTTTTTTTTTTTAATCAAAATTGAGTATTATTGTAAACAGTCATTAAGGTGTACTGAAATAAGGTGAAGCCATATAGTTAACTCAGGGATTTTAAGCAAGACTCCTGGGGTGTACTGGTCAGGTCTGCTGGCTGATGCACATAGGTTAGTTAGAAACCCAAGACAAACTTAGATCAAGACTCAACTGATCTCATCTCTAGTAAGGCCCAGAGCTGGCAGCCTTGGAAACAGAGATGTCTTTTCATTCGTCTACTCCTTTCCAAGGATGAAGAAACAGTACAGAAGACAGTTCTGCCAGATCTTCTAATCTTCTATTAGAAGCCTCTCATAAAGAGGTTCCACCACAGTCCCAGGTAAGTCCTCAGTTGTCTTTAGCAAATTTCTTCTAATCTAAGCTACACTTGCTACAATTCAAGATCACTGTCACTTGTCCCAATTATATCAGATGTACAGAGTAGCATTCCTTTCTAATGTATTTAAAGACAGCTATTGCATCTTCGTCAGTCTGCGTTCTAGACAAAATGCTAGTCCCTCCAATGTTGCATTTTGTAGATTTTTCATAATCCATGTGCCTTTTTTTCCTTGTATTAGCAAAAAAAAAAATGAGCTACAAGATATTTAGATGTTCTCATGGAGGGCCATAGTGTACAAGTAACAGTTATCACAAAAGCAGATATTTTGAGCGCCCTTTCCCACCCAAAAGTATAGTCCTAACAACCCGGAAGAGTTACAACAGAAATTCCTAAGACAAAATACAAAGTTACCTGGGCATGAAGAAAATGTAGCTATGTTTGATAGACTTCCAATGTAACACAGAGCAGGGGCATACAAATGGCACAAACCCTTCTAAAATTACCATCTACCCTGGCAGCTTTGATCTGACTTGCGTCCATCTAATCTTCCCAACGCAAATATAGAGGCAGCAGACAAAAGGAAAAGCTTCAAAGTATGCTCTCAGCAACACAGGAGGTTTCCTGTGAGCATGAGGAAGCGCTTCTGCGCAGGTGACTCTGCAGCGGCACAAATTCCCCACAGAGGCTGTGGAGCCTTCTCCTCGGAGAGACATGGGCCTGGGCACTCTGCTCTGGGCGTTCCGATGGAGCACTGGTTGGAACCAATGGACTCAGAGGTCCCTGCCAACCTTACTTTCTGTGACTCTGCGAGTTGAGAAGACCTTGGCCTAACTTGGCCCATCTCTTCTCAGAATAGATCATATCTTACCAATAGCCAGGAGCCATTCATGAAATGAAGGTAAAGGATTGCAGCACAGGCCATTCACATCCACTTCTTTGTGTCACACCAGCCTTTAAAATTAAAGAGACTAAGTTATGTTTTCTTCAGTTTAGCTCACTAATGAGCCACTCCTCTTCCTACTTCATGCTTTGTTTGTGTGGAGAATTGATATCTGAACATGCTTAATAATTGTCTATACTCAGCATCCTGAAAGTTTAGGTCCTATGACACTGCCCTAGTAGAGACTGAGGGATGAGAAAAACCCATCCAGAAGGGATGAGGAGGACCTGAAGACATCAGCCGGATTGTTCAAGGAGAAGACATTTAATGCACCAATATAATTCTGGGACTAAGGCCTCTGAGATTGTAATTCCCATGTTGGTAACAACAAAGCTAGAAAGAGTTACAGCCCGTGGACAGGATGTCCAGACATAACATAATAATCAATCAAGACTGTAGCAGAGCTGTCAGCAGGCTGGTGAAGGAGAAAAGGAGGAATAAAGACATTCACAGACAGAAAGGCAGTAAAATAAATCAAGAGAATCTCTTACTTTAATACCAATTTATTATCATTAAAATAACAAGAAGTAGGTTTAAATCTTTTTGTCTTAAAAATCTAGTGTAACACACAGGTCTCTTACAGTTCTACAAAACCTATTGCAAAATTGCATCCCCAAATTACACCACTCTGCCCTATCCTCCCAGGCATCAATGGTGCGAGTCACAAACAACATGAAACTGACTGTGTTATGCAGTGCTTGTGATAAGGGTTATCATTAGGCCTTGAGATGCTACAAGTTATTCGGCAAGAATTCTGAACACAGATTTTCCTTTTTGTTAATATTGCTGGAATAACGAAATATTTCACAGATTTTGGCGAAGTCTTAAGAATCTTTGAAGAATTCTATTTTCCCCCATATTGCTTCTTTTCTACTAAAGCCTTTCTCCTCCTCTTACTTAGAGACATTAGCCCCATTCCACACAACAAAACCGCAGCGATGTTTGCTCCCCTCAAAGCATTATGTGTTTCTTTTCTGAAGCTAGTGCTCAGGTGTAGTACTTACACTGAACATTGCCACCAGAATAACTTGTAAGTATATACTTCAGGAATATTAAATGGTCATGTATTTACCTCCAGCTTCTTGGGAGCTCTGCAGCTTCAATTAAGCTGAATATGATAGCAGCACCCAAGGCAGCGATCCTAGAGCTAGTTCAGATTTGCCTGGAGGAGCAGCAGCCATGCACTGCTGGTCAGCTGCAGCTTCACACTGCAACTGTTCAAAAAAAGAAAAGCCTGAGCAAGTCATAATACTGTTCACTAGTGTCTTGAAGAACCAGAGGGAAAAAGAAAAAGTACACCCTGGTGAAAAAACAGGATGGTCCTAATTCTGTCAAGTGTTTACTCTGCTGAATTAAAGCTTACAATGTTATTCAACACTCCAAAGTAAGCAGAGGACTCCAAGTGAAATCATTCTGGCTAGCAGAAAAATGGTGAACAGAACACAGGTAAACCTTATGTATCTGTGTGGATGTGGCAAGTACATGCTTTCAGGTACAAAAGGTCTGTTTTTCAGGAACAGATTCCTTAGGTCATTTCTCCATGAACTTCTTCACAGTATCATGTAGAATTAGGGAGCTCACTGAAAACAAATCACCAAGCAGTTTCACATGCACCTCTGTCCACTCTAGATCTAGAGAGTCATGACGAAAAGTATAACCACAATCAAAGGATAAACACGTGGGAGGTACCAGACTGACAGATTCTATGAACGGACTCCAGTTGTCCTACAGAAGCAGTTCATTGACGCTCTAGGTAGACCCACAAGCCAAACTCCAGAGGTGTTAAATTAACTTGATTAAAAATACCTTCTGGAGTTTGCACTCAGCTGGATCTCTTGGGGAAAAAACAACAACAAAAATACTGCCCATAGCAAAACTACAAAATCTTGCCTTATCTAACGTTCTAAATTATTATCTTGCTTTACGTAAGTTCATGAGTATCCCATACATCCCTGCTCTTTTCGTTTGAAACCATTTCCTCTTGTGCTATCACAACAGACTCTGCTGAAGATTCTGTCCCTTCTTCCATACAGACCCCTTCAGTTACTGAAAGGCCACTATATGGTCTACCTGGAAGAAGAAGAGAAGTCTTCTCTTCTTCATGCTGAACAGCCCCAGCTCTCTCAGCCTAGGTACTAGAAGCTGTGGAAAGGTGCCTACATGGGCAACACAGAGAAGCCGTGAGAAGGTCCCTCTCATTCTGAGTCTCATAGAATAATATGTAAACATGCAAAGAATCACTTGTCTCACCACAGTCTTTCAAGTACTCAGGAAGTTAAAGTAAAATGACAATTATCTTTCCTAACTAATTATCTGTCCTAAGTTTTCTAACTAAAATTTACACAGATACACAATATTTTTGAGCTTTCTAGTGACATTCCCTTTCATAAAATGAAAATATTTTCAAATGAATTCTGTAGCTCTGATAGCCTATACTGAAATTCAACAGAAAATAAAAAAGCAAAACCAACCAAAAAACAGAACACCCCGTTCCCCCCCCAAAAAATTGAAGTTAAAAATCACAACCACCAAAACAACACCTCTCTACCAGCCCCCTAAAAAAAACAACCAAAAAAACCCCCACAAACTTTTAGGGATGGGATCATCAATAGCCCAGTCATTTTGAAAACATTTTCAGGACTTTTTTTTTTTGTGGTCCCTACTCAAAGATCTTTTTCAAGTTAATTCAAAATGCCCTCTACCCACATCAAAATCAGTCAATCAAACAAGAAAACCCCAAGGGAAAATTAAATGCCTCATGTCTAAGTTGATTAATATTCGTGTTGAAAATGTACAATCTGGTAAAGTTCTGTAGTGTAAACATCCAGTTGTGACTTCTATAATCACTGCCTAAAATCTGAGGGTTCTTTCTACTGCCTAAATGCTTAATGCAGCCTAAGGCATGCAAATGTCCAATGAAGATACACTGCACTGACCCAAAGCTGCATTAGAAAAAAAACACTTTCAAGATACATACTGACTAAATAAACAAGTTTCAGAAGAAAAGAAAAACATGCTCCCATCAAAAAACAGAGCACTAGGCAGTCCGGCGTGTATAACATAGGTTTCTCCTTGTAGATCATATGGCAAGTGCTTTGTTACAAAATATAAAAATAAAACTGTATGAATTGCATGCAACTGTACACAGTGCAGCTCAAGCAATACTGAGGTGTTCCCCTTGTTTCTGTGAAGCAAGTGGACAAACTGCAGGGTGGTACTGGTACTGTGGTCACTGGATTTCTTCCACAGAGATACACAAAGCTACTTTTATTTAAAAGCCCACAACAGTGAGACATTAAACATATTGATAATTGTCCTGCAAAGAAGTTTTCAATTTCTTTATGCATGTCTAGAGTACCGAACATATTCGTTTTCCTTTAAGTCCTTTGCTAGAACCCCTTTTTTCACAAGTCACTTCAAATGAGGTGTTTTCTGCTTTGATCACATACAATTGTACCTCAGGTATAAGCAGATGAAGGCAGTTCATTACATTATAAAACTGACCTCATCATTATGAAGCATACGTAATACAAAAGTTAAAGATTCCAGTTAAGCATCACCACACACTAACCTTTCATATTTGTATAAGATGATCAGTTAGAAGCTATGGAATTATAACTACTGAAACTGTACACAGGCACCTTGCTATTCCATACTCATGGTTCTCTTTTTGAAACATTCCATTCCTGTGTCTAGCTGACCTTCAGCCATTTCATCTATTCAGACGCTGGGTCACCACTTCTCGGTACATGATGGAAATATATATCAGCAGAAGGAAAATGACGAAGAAATCATCCAAGAACCCCAGAATTCCAAAAAGAGCTTCAGGAAGAAAATCCAGAGGTGACGCCAAGTAGAGAAAGGCTCCAAACAAACAGAGGAATATTCTGATGCGAAACATCCAGAAGAGGCCTCCAACAGAAAACATCTCCCTGAATGCATGCCGCAGCAGAGTGGGCAGATCCATAATTCTTTCCATAATCTATGAAGAAACAAGCCAAGAGTTTCAGTGTGAAGTTTCTATTACTGCATTACAGCTTAGGTATCTGTTCATTTGCAAGAAAAATGACCAAATGCTCTAGACTTAACTTTGCTGTGTTATATGTCACTGTTAGAACACTTATG